TGACGGGGCCATCCCCTCCTGGCCCCTTCTGAGCCCCGCCTTCATGGTGGGGCCATGTGTTTCAAGGGTTGTTGAAAGAGACACTTATTGGTGTGAAAATAGGGAATCCATTCCTTCTACTTTTGGTAACTTACTTTTTGTACCAATGCCATAATGTTTCAAACTCCTTTGAAATACTAGACTGTCAACCTCCTCGGTCAGAAAAGTTAATTACTTGATTTTGCCAAATGATTTAACATAATCTCTGAAAATAGTTTGAGGGATATCGGGCTAAAAAGCTTGTTATATTTGATTTTTTATAGCACTTTATGAACGTAAACCTGACAAAGACGAAGACTGCTAGTTTCCCCAGATCTGATTGAAAACACTAAGGCAATAAAATATCTGCAAGGAATTTTCTAGTTATAATAACGACTCAGAATTTGAAGGTATGCTGTCAGAGACAGGACTTGTGGGACAACAGTTCCTATATTATTTTTAACAAACGAAAATACTTTCTAAACTCCTAGATTTACCGTTATCTACATAGCGGTGTGCGTTAATTAAATATCTGACATTTTTTCATTTCTAGAAGAGGTCTAAGTGTAAGTATTTTTTTCAAGGTCGGATCTGCTAAGGGAAGTTCAAAATAATGCCCTTTTCCACAATCAACAATCGGGTTACGGAAGTCCTGCATTTAACCTGATTTTGTTGGGAAAACAGAATGCAGGCAAGAATTCGCTGATCGCAAAACTGCAAAACTACGAGGGGACGATTCACAGCAATGGTCTTCATTACTACTACATAGACATGCGATTGTCAGAGAGCGAAGGTAACTTGAATTGTTTCTTATGTTTCTTTCATAATCCAAACATTTATTTTATTTAAATTGCTATAATTTCGTTCTTGTTTTCAGAGCCAATGAAAGTTGGTGCCTGGTGTTTGGACACCGATGTCAACATGAATTTGCATCTTCGGTATGCTCTGAACAAGAACACTATCTGGAACAGCCTCGTCGTCATATGCGTTAGCATGACCGAGTTGTGGAAAGCTGAGAATAGCATCTCAGATACTATCCAACTTCTTCGAAGTCATTTGGATTACCTCAACTTAGATGACGAGGAAGTGGTGGACTTACAAGAAAGTCGTAAGTAGTCATCGACACAGCTTTTTACGCGGAAGTTGAAAAGACCTCAGGTGTTTTCCCTTCCCAGTAAATATAATTACAGCGGTGAACATGCATTGCTCTGTCAAAATATCCAGCCTTTTGGTTCACAAAGTCTTACTGGCGGTGTCAATAGATATTTTGTGTATTTTAAAGAATTTTATAAAACAAAAACTTAAATCATAACCAAATATGAGTAATAGTTTTTTGTTTATTCTAGTCCAGCGCCAGTTCCAACTGTACATTGAACCCAATCGCCAGACTGATGGCGCCAATGACGAAGCGGAAAAGCCGAGCAGTAAACTGGAACATTTGCATCGAATGGGCTCGGTAACGCACTCCAGTGGAATGCCCGTGAACAGCCTTCACCCGGCTGACGCTTCGGGTGCGGCCAGTGATTCTGTACTCGTGCCTATCCCCGAAGGTACTTTCAAAGAAAAACTTAGTGTGCCAGTGATGATTCTAGTCACAAAAGTGAGTTTAA